GTGTGTGTGGATGTATGTGAACCTCTCATAACTTTTAAACGGCTTGACCGATTTTATCACGGTTGGTGCCATTCGAAAATTTTGAGAAATCGCAAAAAAACTACAAAAAAAAATTTTTTCAAAAGTGGTTTTTTTGGAATAACTTTTAAACGGCTTTACCGATCAATTCCAAAAACTAATCAGCTCTTAACATCATGCTGTTTATTGATGGAAAAGTCTAACATATACTCATTCAAATATATTGATTTCGAAATGATCGTTTGAGCATAATATTAAAATTTATAAAAGATAAATTATGCCTCGAATTTATTATTACAAATAAACAACCATAGACTAAAAATTAGTAAAAATAAATATGAAGGACATTGTTGTTTTTTTATACATCAGTCTCATATTTGTAAAATTGAAAAGTATTATTTTTAAAATTAGAAATGTGAAGTAGAATTACAATTCGTGTAATATAAATAAAATTTTCTGGTAACATTACATTGCACTGTGTAATTTTACAATGAAAATTGTAAAAATAAAAAAAAGCTTTTTAAATTTTTTATGTGATTATTGTAATATAAATTACAATATTTTTTAATGATTTTACATACAATTATGCCGAATCAAATTACAAATAATGTTTGCAAAATTAAAAAGCTTTTTCTTGAAAATTGACGAACAGTTCTGTAATATTACAATGCGTGTTAGGTTTATACAAGAAGATTATAAAATTACAATACATCTTAGTAGATTTCCTGACAAGTGTTGGAAAATTACATGAATTGTATTTTATTTAACATTGCTATCCACTGATTTGTAATTTTACATATCATTTGTTTTGTAATATGATTGTAATTTTACAAAAATTTTTAACAGTGTAGGACAGGAAAACAAAAAGTGGGATAATGTGTCCTTTTCCCCGGTCCCGCAGACTGGGCAGTTGTTAAACGGGAAGAATTCATTTACATTACCATTTACTATTATCTTAAAACCAAAATTATTTGCCGTACGCAACTGTGCAAAGACTTTCTTTATATGTAATTCGACATTGCTTTTAAGATGATTATTAGTATTTGGAGTGCATATTACATTAGATTCTAGGTAGGCAATGTTATGAGTTTGATTTAATACAGTTTGTTCTAGTATATTTTTATATTTTTCCAGTAATATTTTACCAGCCCCATCCCATGTCTTACCATCTAAAGTGTCAATAAGGTATATAAACTTTGCATCTACTGTATTAATGAAATTACCGATTTGTGCAAACCAGTTGTATTCAGCATTTTTGTAATTATTTTTATACAGCTTGATTTGTTTTATGACACTGGTATGGTAGTCTATTTTCATCCATATTTAAAATATTTACCATCCAATTCCAGGTTTGCTTCCATATCATGTAAGACAGGCTCAATTTGTTAGTTTCTTTTTTAACCAGTGCATTTGAAGTAGTACGTTTAAGGCTGAGAATAGATTTGAAAAATTCAGTTAGCAGGCAATCTAGTTGACCGGCATATCTGAGAGCCCATATCGGAGAGGCATACAAGGCTACAGAGGCTACCATCCCGTCAAACAGTGAAATAATATCAAAATTTTTTATTTTCGCGCGATAGATTAATGAAATGACCGCCCCTATAGCAGAACGAGCTTTTTTAATCGCGTTTGTTAGCACTAGCCTGCCTCGTCCAGATAACGAGAAAGGTATGCCTAGGTAAGTATAACTAGAGACCACTTTGATGTTGTTACCGTTATAGAGAAAGTTCAGATTGTTGGGTATCCTACCTGCTTTGCGACAGTAGAGGACTTCTGTCTTGCTTTCATTAACAATAAGCTGGTTAATCTCACAACATTCTTGTAGGACTTTCAACTTAGCTGCCACGTTAGCTCTACTTCTCGCAAGTATCGCCAAATCGTCCGCATAGAGTAGCAACAGAACATCAATTGAAGGGTTTATCCTTATACCATACAGTCCCTTGGATCGAAAGAAGTCCTCCATATCAGATATATACAGGATGAACAGAAGCGGACTTAAGATCTCACCTTGCAGGACGCCCTCATTTATTTCTATCTTTTCTGATAAGCCATCTTTAGCCTTTACTCTTATAGTAGCTTTATCATATAGATTTTTTAAGATTCTAATCAGTTTAGCACTTACGCCGAGCTTTAGGAGCTTATTCCAAAGTTTATCATGCGCTATAGAATCAAAAGCCCGTTTAAAATCGACAAATATGACGAATGCTATATATATATATATATACACACATATATATAGGAGCTGTTCTATAGATAGATTGACTCATCACGATATCTCGGGAACTATCGGACCTAGAAACTTGAAATTTGGTAGAAATATTACTTTTTCATGTAGAGGTCAGCTAAGAATGGATTTTAAGAAATTCCACCCCCAAGGGGTTTTGCGGGGGCGTTAACAGTGAAAAATTCCCGTTTTTAAACTATAGCTCCTATCGACTCGAAATTTGGTAGGAATCTTCTGTAAGAGATGTAAAAATAATTTATGAACGAATTTTACGATATATCACCCCTACAGGGAGTTGCGGGGATGGGTATGATCAATGAAAATTTTTATTTTTTGAGCTATAGCTCCTATAAACTCCAAATTTAGTAGAGGTCTTCTATATGTGATATAGAAATGATCTAAGAGCGGATTTCACAACGAATCACCTCCAAGAAGGATCGCGGGGGTGGGTGTTAACAATAAAAAATCTTAATTTCGAAATATAGCTTTTTAAAACTTTAAATATGGTAGGAATCTTTCATTTCTCATGTAGAGATCATTTTAAAATGGATTTCACTAAAGTCCACTTCCGATAGGAATCGCGGAGGTGGGTGTTACAATCTAAAATTTTAATTTCAAACCTGAAACTTCTACAGACTCCAAATTAGGTAGGAATCTTTGTGTATGATGTCAAGTTCAGCTAAGAATGGATTTTCTAGAATTCTAACCCCAAAAGGGATTGCGGGGGCGTTAAAAATAAACATCTCTCATTTCCAAACAATAGTTTCTATGGACACGAAATTTTGTTGGAACCTGTTATTTATAATAGAAATCATGTCGAATAGGATCTTACAAAATTCCTCCCCTACATACGAGTGCGGGAGTAATAATTGTCAAAAAATTCGTATTCCTCAAATACAGTTTCCACAAATAAAAAATTCGATAGAATCTCAAGAGATACAGGAAATTACAGGGATGGCCTCCAAGGTCAACCATTTTAAATATTTTTCTTTCTTAATAATTATATTTTCTTACAACAATCGTCTCTTTGGCAGCGGGGAAAAAGTAATTGTAAGGTTTCCAAAATTTAACTTTACATGTAGCTTTTCAGTCAACAGACTAAGAATTTTAAATACATTTTATTTTTGCTGATCACATAATTGATGAATTGTTCTTATTACGGGATCGCGGGAATGTAACAAATTGAAATAAATGCATTTTCTGAACACTTGAGACGTGGAAAAGAGATTTGACTGCTTATTTTAAGAAAATGCGTAAAAAAAATGTACAAATAATTTTCTATGAAAAATTGATGTCACGGAGGAAATTTTAATAAACGGCAAAATTCGTCGCACTTTAAGCTAAGCAGATTTCAACTTCACTTATGAGACCTGCAATTACTTTAACTGAAACTTTCAATGATCATTTTAAATTTTTTTCTTCGTGTCAATTATTATCCATTTTTGGAAGAAAGCTACGGGAATGTTATAGCCCTGATTAAAAATATTGATTGAAAAGTATTGGGAATCAGTCACCCCATGTAAACTGTATATCTATGTATACATGAAAAAAAATTGAAAATATTCAAAAATATTCAAATTTCATCATTTTTAATCCTTTTCAACCAATATTTTTAACCAGGGAGTGATTGCACATTGAAAGTTACAATGAATATTAGCTAGAATAATCACATGGATAAAAGGTACAGGCCAATCCGATGGAATTTGGAATCTGTGCAAGTCAAAAAAATATTCCAATTAAATTTCAAGTATAGATCTAAAAATACAATTCTATAAAGTGCCCAGCGGAGCGGGCGGGTAACAGCTAGTTTATATATAAAAAAAAAAAAATCACTGAAGAAGCGTGATTTTATTTTTAATCTAACAGCTTTTCAACGGAACGAAAATTTAAAAATTTACATGAAATTTGTTTTTGCAAAGTACAAAAAAAATATTAAAAAATGATAATGTAATCAAAAAGCAAAATCTTCCAAACTATTTGACTTGACGTGGATCAGCTCACGTATATTCTGCTTGTCAAAACATATTGATATTTATTCATTTATAAATAACATCATTTTCTACGGATTATTGATCAGTAATCAAATCATATAATTCAATATGCATTTACAGGCACTGTGTCCAGTTTGTCGTGAAGTAATCAATTGTGATATGAACACTTTAAGTTTAGCACCACCTCCTGTCGATGTAGAAGCAGCCACTACTTTTTCTATATCTGCCGAATTACGAGATTTGCAGCTAAAAATGTCAGCATTATATTTGCATCAACAACAGCAAGGTGGAATTATTGATCCTGAAGCTGAAGAAATAAAAATGTTATTGCGAACTAATACTACATACGATGAAGTACAATCATCAATGTCATCCGTTGAAAATAACCCATCACAATTCTCACTTCAAAGTATTGTCCATTCGGTAAATTATAAAATAATATTTAAAAATTATTTACAGAAAACTTTTGTTCGTACAAACTTTTTTAATCTTAACAATGATATTTCATTTTAAGAGTTCAAATCCTGATGATGAACATATGTTTGAGCGAGAGGATTTATTTCAACGACCGAGTAGTCAACGAAATAATTTTCGTTCTGTTTTAAATCATCAACATTATTATGGTCGTCGAGCTGGTGGTCATAACCGCGGTAATAATAATCACCAAAATAGTGACCGATCAAAACAATCTAATCATGTACCTAGATGACACAGAATAAACGATTATATTGCAAAAGTTGATGTATTCTAACACTCAAATCTGTCAATAAAATTTCATTAGAAGCTTTTCTTTACTGAACTATTTCCTAACTTGACAAATACGAAACTTTAAAATCGAAAAATCGATAAAAAATGCAGCATCTTAAAACTTAAAATTTTGATTTGTCTATAGAAACAAAAAAAATCGTTCAATTTTAAGATTCAAATGCCAACAAATCTAATTTTTTTTTTTAACTTTTTCCACGCTGACTAAACTATAAGCTATAAAAAATATGTTAGTTACACTATAAAAACTTATGAAAATATACATAAAGAGAAGTAGTAGATGAAACTTTTAGCGTTTCTGGGGTTGACCTCCCAAAATGATTGAATTACAAAATAATTAACAATTGAGTAATTAATGGATGTCGACCTCTTTCTTTTTTGAGATTTGGTATTTGAAAATTACTAAGCGGAAACGTATTATTCCATAATAACTATTCAAACATAAAAATATAAATGGAAAAAAAAGCAGTATGATATTAAAAGTCTAATTACTATATTGACTCCTAATTAATAAATTCAAACTGTAGTAAATAATAGAAAAGAAATTATTAATGAAACTAAAGATAAAATATGGAAATAATATCTCAAAGTTGCGCTATAAATTCTTAGAATTACATTTTAAAACTCTTTATAACTCTATATAATATTGAAGTATTTAATAAAATCGAATTAATCTATCATGTACTTAAGTATTATTGTTATTACAGCCCAAGAAACTTAATGGATTACTCATAAGCATACGAGATTAACAAGTAAATTCTACAAATAAATAAATATATATATATATATATATATATATATATATATATATATATATATATAATAGGGTGTGCCAAAATGTAACTCCCGTGGAGGACCTTTTAAAATTGGAATTTTGAGTTCCGCTTTTAACAAGGGCTGTGTTTGGACATTTTCTGAGATATTTTGGGGGGAGACGATGTATTTGATTTTCATAGAATTTTTTAACAGAAGCTTAGTTTGGGCGTTTCCGGTGAAAATTTAAAATTTGGCCGGAAGTGTCCAAGCAAATCTCCTGGTAAAAATCCTATGAATAATCAAATACATCGTCTCCCCCCAAAATATCTCAGAAAATGTCCAAACACAGCCCTTGTTAAAAGCGGAACTCAAAATTCCAATTTTAAAAGGTC